TTGGGGCAGTAGGGGGCGATAGGGGGTGATATTGGGGCAGTGGGGGGCGATATTGGGGCAGTGGAGGGTGATATTGGGGCATTTGGGGGTGATATTGGGGCATTTGGGGGTGATAGGGGGAGATAAGGGATGATATTGGGGCAGTGGGGGGTGATATGGGGTTGTGTTGGGGCAGTAGGGGGCGATATTGGGCGATATTGGGGCAGTAGGGAGTGATATCGGGATATTGAGGGGCAATAGGGGGAGATAAGGGGCGATATTGGGGCAGTGGGGGGTGATATTGGGACATTTGGGGGCGATATTGGGACGATTGGGGCTGATATGGGGTCGTGTTGGGGCGACAGGGGGCGACAGGGGGCGATAGGGGTGCAATAGGGGGCGATAGGGGGGCGATATGGGGCGATAGGGGGGCGATAGGGGGGCGATATGGGGTCGTGTTGGGGTGATAGGGAGCGATAGGGGGTGATATTGGGGCAATATCGTGACAATAGAAACTGATATCATGACAATAGTGGCCAATATCGCGACAGTAGTGATTAATATTCTGACAACAGGGCCCGTATCGTGACAGTAGAGGTTGATATCGTGACAATAGAGGCTAACGTGGTGACAGTAATGGTCAATATCGTGACAATACCATCTAATGTCATGACAGTCGGAACTGATGTCACGATAGCATCTGGTATCACCACTACAGAGTTCAGTATGACGACTGTAGTGGCCGATATTGCCACAATTGTGTCCTATGTCACGACAACAGCAGCCAATATCGCGATAGTGGCCAATATCACCCTGATGGTATCTGATATCGCAATGACGGCGGCCAGTATCTGATATTGCCACAACAGCCACCATGATAGTGGCTGATATCACGATAGTGACTGATGTCACGATACTGGTTGATATTGCCGTGGTAGTGTCTGATATCGTGACAATAGCGGCCAATACCGTGACAATAGTATCTGATATCGCAATAGTAGAGACTGATATTGCGATAGTTCCAGAATCACCATGATAGAGACTGATATCGTCGTGATAGTGGCCATGATAGCATCCGATATCGCAACGATAGCATCCGAAATCGCCACGATAGCATGCGATATCGCCACGATAGCATCCCATATCACGATAGCATCCAATATCGCCATGATAGCATCCCATATCGCCGCGATAGCATCCAATATCGCCACAATAGCATCCGATATCGCCACAATAGCATCCCATATCACGATAGCATCCGATATCGCCACGATAGCATCCGATATCGCCACGATAGCATCTGATATCGCCACAATAGCATCCGATATCGCCATGATAGCATCCGATATCGCCACAATAGCATCTGATATCGCCATGATAGCATCCAATATCACCACGATAGCATGCGATATCATGATAGCATCCGATATCGCCACGATAGCATCTGATATCGCCACGATAGCATGCGATATCGCCACGATAGTGTCTGATATGGCCAGGATAGCATTTGATATTGCCACGATAGCATCCCATATCGCCACGATAGCATCCCATATCGCCATGATAGCATCCGATATCACCACGATAGCACGTGAAATGGCCACGATAGCATGCGATATGGCCACGATAGCATCTGATATCACGATAGCGTCTGATATGGCCACGATAGCATGCGATATTATGATGATAGCATCCGATATCATGACAATAACATGTGATATGGCCACGATAGCATGCGATATCGCGACACCAGCGGCTGCTATCGTGACACCGGCTCTCCTGTAGGGTCGACGGCGCAGCGCGTGTGCCTGGCGGGGGACAGCGCCGGGGGGAACCTGTGCGTGACGGTGGCGCTGCGGGCGGCGGCCATGGGGGTGCAGCGGCCCGACGGCATCATGGCGGCCTACCCCGTCACCTTGGTGCAGGCGGCCGTGTCGCCGTCGCGCCTCCTCACCCTCTTCGACCCCCTGCTGCC